TTTCATGAGTAACTCGCAGGTAGAAGTCATTCAAACGGTTGAGATTATGCAGTTATAATAGATGTATATATTATCATATAATTCAAAATAATCAATATATTATATCAATTTAGTATACGAATTATAATATCAAATTTAATAACAACGTTATTGTTATATTTAAAAAAACATATATTTATAAAGATTTCAACTATATAAGTGTTTCTGCGCAAAGTGCGGGCATTCGCCTATTTGTAATATAAAATGTAAAACAAAAGTCTTTCTGGAAATAGCGATTTAGGTGTGGTCATAGAAGATTTTCATTTTTACATATATTCTCTCAGTTAATTTTCATTTAATAGTTTTCGTTCTTATAATTTTAAAGTTAAATTATTAGTATTTTATACATTACGATTTGGTCGCTCACTATATTTTAAAGTTAATTTTTGGTCCTACACATAATTGTTTTAATAATCTTATTTTATTAATTTATTTAGGATACACTTTCAAGTCTTATTTTTGTCCGTCTACTCTGTATATAATTATTTGTATCGAAATTTTATTTTGATACTTTTCTTGTCCATTTTATATGATTTAATCGTTTCGATGATATATGTGGGCCGTTGACGTTTATAAATAATATTCTAATTTCTACCGATTGTAAATGAGTCATGTTTTGGGCCTTACACAACTTCTTTTTAAAGATCTCGATTTTATTACTTTCAAACGAGTTCTTGGTCGCAATACATGGGGTTAATTATCTCAAACATTTCTCTTTCATTGTGTCAAATACCCTTTTAATATAGGGGTTGGCTAAAAAGACACCTTTTTACCATTTAGATAACCCTAATTAATTTTGAAGTATTTTTATTGGTTGAAATTGTATTGTTTTCCGAAAAAAAACTGATTACAAATAGTTTATTATAGGTTGACTTTTTATAAAAATGATTGAGAGGGTGTGTAAGGAGTCTTCCTAGCAGCACCCCTTAATATATTATTTCTCTTTCATTGTGTTCTAGTCTTCGATAGAATAAAAAATGGAGTCTGCCTTGAGTCTCAAACCCATCATCAACGTTGCTGCCATCTGTGGTTCCCTTCGCAAAGCCTCCTTCAACCATGGCCTCATTCGCTCCGCCATCGATTTGACCAAGCAATCGGTTGATGGAATGGCTATCGAGTACGTCGACATATCACCTTTGCCGATGCTCAACACAGATCTCGAGATCGACGGCAAATATCCGCCAGCAGTCGAGGTTTTCCGGCAAAAGATTTTTCAATCCGATTGTTTCCTCTTCGCTTCTCCTGAGTACAATTACTCCGTCACTGCACCTTTGAAGAACGCAATCGATTGGGCATCCAGGCCGCCGAATGTCTGGGCTGATAAGGCTGCTGCCATAGTCAGTGCCGGTGGTGGATTTGGTGGAGGGCGGTCACAGTATATTCTCCGGCAAAGCGGTGTTTACCTCGATCTTCATTTCATTAACAAGCCTGAGTTCTTCCTGAATGCGTTCGAATCTCCTCCTAAGTTCGACGATGAAGGCAATTTGATAGATGCTGCAGCTAAAGAGAGGCTGAGAGCTGTTCTTCTAGCACTGAAAGCTTTCACATTGAGACTTCAAGGCAAGTGATGAAAGCTACCACAAGGTATTCAAAGCTGTTCTTGAGCGATTCGTTTGATTTTTTCGAATCTTGTTGATGTTTCTGTTTGAATTCCCGCTTGTATGAATTGATTTTACAATTCAAGGAAATGTAAATCAAGTTCTAAGAACAAATAATATCATGATTTGGGTTTTATTGATATACGAATACGCTTTCGAAATTTTTGGGATTGCGTGTTGAAAATAAGAATTTAATTGCGGGTCCTACATCAAATAATTAAAATAAAAAAAACCATTTAAACAATATTATTATATAACGAAATTTTACACAAAAAATCGCTAATTACATTGTTTGTATTATTCTATATTTAATGTAGTAAATTATGTATTATAATTGTTTAATTTTTATATTTGTATTATAACTTCTTATCGTCGTAGAAAAATTAATATAATTATGTAATATAATTTTTTAATTTTATGCATTTATTCATTTATATAATACGAAATGCATAAAAAAATGATAGAAGACAATAGATGCGTTTTTGGTTAAGGTGTGTTTGGGAGTTCTTTTTAATCTGAAAAGTGTTTTCGTAAAAATATTTATTGGCTTATAACTTTTAGAAAAAAAAAAAATTTTAAAAAGTGTTTGGTTAAATTTTTGTGGTGGAAAAAACTAAAAAGTCAATAAATTTGTTTTAAAAAATGTTTGGCTTGACTTTCTAAAGGTAAAAAGTTGTAGGAAAAGCTAAAAAGCTAAAAAGCCATAAAAAAAACTAGGATTTTATAACTTTTTGAAACTCTTTTATTTTGTCTATCCAAGAAGCTGTTTGAAAAGTGTTTTTGAACAACCCTATCACTTTTTTAGCTTGTTAGCTTTTAAGTAAATTATGGTTTAAGGTAATTTGCATGTTTAGTTTCTAACTTGTTTTTTTTACTCGAAATGTCCCTATAGTTTGTTTTTGTTGCGTGTTTGGTCCTTATCTTACATTAAAAGACTATTTTGTTCTTGAGTTTTTAATTTATTTAAATAAAGTGAGATAGGTAAGGTAAGGTGAGATGAGGTGGAAGTGGGGTTGGGTGTGTTTTTATTTAAATAAATTAAAAAATCAATGGTAAAATAATCTTTTTAGGTAAGACAGGGACCAAGCACGCAACATAAACAAACTGTAGGGAGCTTCCGAGTTAAAAAAATAAGTTAGGGAGCAAACGTGCAAATTACTCCAAACTTTAGGGACCATTCGTATAATACACTCTTAGCTTTTTGAAAAATGAATAAGCTAATAAGCTAATTTGACAAGTAATGTCAGACACCCTCTAAATTTTATATGACCTAACATAACAGGTGCGAATAAACAATTAAGACATATTTTTGTCGTGGAGTATCCTCTCCTTTAATAAAAGAGTATCTTTAATAAAAGAGTATCATATGCCACGTGTCAATTTTTCAGCCCAAAAATTTATAAAGTAAATTATCTATTTTACCCTTTGCTCTAAAATACTCACCCAATATTAAAGGGTATTATTGTTAGTTCCGATTTTACGTTGCTTTTCATTCTTTGTATTCATCGACTTATTCCCCCAATCATGGGTCCATCTCCTCTAAGTTCGTCTTCTCTCTTTTGGAAGCCAGATCCTTATCGGTACCGATTCAAAGTTTTGAACACCCAATCTATAAAGTTTAATCCTACTATTTTTCCCGTAACGCCTGCAGATTCAGGCTAGTCAATTTAGAGACAATGAGCGTTAAAAATAACTTTTTGATAGAATATTATTTAGCATAAATAATCTTAACCAAAGTTGTAGTAAATGTCACAAGGATTCCGTACATATAAAGAACGTTGAAATCCGACTTATAACGAAGTAATTATGACCCGTCGAAGTTTTGCGACAAAATCGGCACAACGTCGCGTAACGTAAAAAGTGAATTTTTAATAAGCTACTTTTAGCCTTAGCAATCTAAACAAAAGTTGTAGTAGACGTTAAACCGAGAGCGTGTATATAGAGAACGTCCAAATCTGACTCCGTTTGAGAAAGTTATGAATTTTCTAAGATTTGACATAGTAGTATACAGCTCAGAAATTGAATTTTAGATCGGTCAATTTTTAGCCAAAATGATCTAAATGAGAATTGAATATCTCATTAATAGGAGTTAAACGATAAAAAGACAGTCGAAAACGGAGTCCGTATGTAGAAGTTATGAATTTTACACGGTCGTTAACAATGTAATCTTCTCAGACTGTTAAATTTAAAATCGGTCAAGAATTAGTCAATGGGGTCAAAAGGAAAGTTGTAGATCTTGTCAATACCTACGCGTGGATATAAAGAACATAAAAAACGGAGCTCGTATGCAAAAGTTATGATTTTTTTAAAATTGGTTGTTTTACCTGCGTCCGACGCCACGTGTCAGCACCAGACGAAGCCTTGGTGCCTACGTAAGGCTCACGACGTCAGAGGCATGTCTCACGATGTGAGAGGCCCCCAAACAACCTATAAATAGAGGCTCAAATCTCTCATTTCTTCACACCAAACCCATTCTTTCTCTCCCAATACCCCTAAACCCTCTCTTCCATTCCCTAGCACTTCCCAAGTGCTAGAGGCGAGTCCTGGAATGCCAGAAGACTCCGAAAGAAGAGCTTTCGGCTCAGAAGTTCTGCCCCTGCAGAGCTCGAATCCTAGCTAAACCCCCTTGTAAGTGAGTTATGCTTACCCTACTTTAAGTATAACTTATGTTTAAGTTCATTATCGTTATTATGAACCTATAAACAATATATGTGCTAAGTATCATAAATTATACAAAGTGTTATTATAATACCTTTTAACTGCTCGCGGTATGAGGTATCTGGTTTGAAGGGCGGCATAGGGTTGTTGGATTTCAGAACAGCTTTAATGCCAAAATGGTCTTGCCCTCTGGTGTTTCATGTTTGACCCCTGTCTGTACATAGTAGTTGAAAAGTATCATTTAACACTTATATAATACAAGAAAAACAATATTACCTAGACTAATAATTAGTCGCAACAAATATTAAGATTCAATGATAATGATACTAGGTTTTATTGAAGGAAAGAAAATTATTAAGAAGCTAAGCGTTGCCCGAGTTTGGAGTCATCACTTTAACAAGTGAGTGCATAGTTAATTTCATCTTACACATAGATATGAAGTATTTAATGTTAATACATTCTATATGTGTTTATTATTTGTGTTTCTGATATCTATGCTAGATGAACGATTTATACATGTTTTACGTGATTTAAATTGTATATGTATTTTTATACCTATAAATATATTAGGTAAAGATGGGTAGATGAGTGTTGAGATATAGGTGATGATAGAAAGGTGATGATAACTAGGTGATGATAGATATACGATGATGAATAGGTGATGTGATCAGATAAGAGATGATTATGAGATGTCATAACCTTGACCTGCGATGTTATGATGTTGCGATGTAGTCATCTACCAGAGTATAGATGACTAATCTAAACAAGTCATGTGGAAACACCGGCATGCTCATAACCTGTAGGTGACGAATTACGAGTTCAGGCGATGTAGTAACTACGTATTCATGCGATGATACTCTAACCCTTACTGGACACGTATTGGAGGAGTAATCCCCGAATCAATACTGTTTATGCGATGTAGGCGATTATCCTTAGGAACAAATATATAAGGAAATGAGATGTACGACGATGAGAGGTAAATACGATGTAGGAGATGACCCTTAGGATAAATCCTTAGGGAAGATTAAATAAAGAAAATGGGGATGGGTAATCGGGTTAATTGTTTGACATGTAAAATGTGAAGAAACAACTTAACTATATTATTGTGAGTTGAAAACTGTGACAACCCGAAAATTTTTATCTTGTAAATCCAGCCAATCAGCCAAAAGGCAGACTTAATTCCATTGCCGTCTAGCCTTGTTAAGGGTCATTCTAATGAATTCTAAGCCTAGTACACTCAAGGGTTGAGTGTTAGGGAGTATTAGCTCGAGATCAGAAGGCTTTACCCGAACCAGAGAACCCAACACTTGAGGTTCATGGTCGCAAACCTAGTTCACGGTGAGACTTTAAGTAAAACCGAATCTCCAACTTCGAAGGATATAAGTTGTCTTTTCTTGTCAGCATAACTCTTTTGTCGATCTTGAGCTGCTAACATCCTTTCTCTAATCACTCTCAACTTTTCAGCAGTCTGATGAACTATTTCAGGTCCCATAAACTGCTTCTCCCCTGCTTCCAGCCAACATGACGGCGTTCGACACTTTTCTCCATACAAAGCGTGATAAGGGTGCCATCTTGATGCTTGAGTGGAAACTATTATTATAGGAAAATTCTACTAGAGGTAAGTGTTCATCCCCAGTTACCTTGGAATTCTAGGGTACATGCTCGCAGCATATCCTCCAATGTTTGAATCGTTTGTTCGCTCTGACCATCAGTTTGCGGATGGTAAGCTGTACTCAAACACAACTTGGTACCCAATTCCTCTTGTAGACTCCTCCAAAACCTTGAGGTAAAACGGCTGTCACGATCGGATACAATCGTTAACGGAACACCGTGAAGCCTCACAATTTCCTTCACGTAAGAATTCGCAAGTTTATCCATAGACCATTTCTCGTTAGCGACTATGAAATGCACACTCTTAGTGAAGCGATCAACGACCACCCAAATCATGTCGTGACCGTTCCTTGTTCTGGGCAGTTTAGTCACAAAATTCATAGTGATATCTTCCCATTTACCCATGGGTACAGGTAAAGGTTCTAAACTTCCATACGGTTTCTGATGTTGTGCCTTAACCCTAGCACAAGTTACACACTCGGTCACATACTTAGCAACATTGAGCTTCATCGTCGGCCACCAGTAATAGGGTTTTAGATCCCTATACATTTTCGTACTGCCGGGATGAATCGAGTACATGGTCTTGTGAGCTTCTTCCATCAGAAGATCTCTTACTCCTCCCGTCTTAGGTACCCAAATCCTATCTTGGAATACCTTCAACCCTTGACCGTTTATATCAAACACCAACGTTTTACCCAAAC